GACAGACATCACCAAAACGAGAGAAAAGTTGCCAATAATAATGTGTCTTTGTTTGGATACATATTAATGCAAACTTGGGATGGGAATTTGCGTGTATTTGCCCATAAAATCAATTATACCTTATAAAATTTTGGGAAAGTCCATTTATCTGACTTATTAAAGTGTTTAGGGCATCCTGGTCAACTCAAAAACCACTCAAATATGACTGCAAAATCCCAGATTGTACAGTCATTGTTCACTGTCTGGCTCCTACCACTGTAGTCAACACTTTTGATGATTACCAGATACAAGCAGGGAAAATTTGTGTGTAGAAAAGTATCAGGCCAGACCAAGCTATCCGGGAACTGGATGAACTTCCTTCATCTCCTGCTTTCAGCAGTGCCCTCCAGAATACCAGCGTTTCTCTTCAAGCAAGACTCCTGTATTTCTTTGTTGTTGTGTTGCATAAGTCATTGACTGTCATCCATGTTTACATCTCGGAACTGTGAGTTATCACTAATGCACACTCCTTTAAGCAATCCCCCATTTTAGTGACTAGTATTTGTATTTTGTATTTTGCTGTGCTTTATTCCTTGTAATTATTTTGAGAGGTATTAAAGCCAGGAGCTTCAACGCGACATTTTGGTGTATGTGTGTTTCATTTCCAGTACTAATGTCTTGTCTACCCCATTCTAGCAGTGGAAGAATCCCCTGTCCAGTGTGAGTCCTGTGGGTGGCCCTCTCAATTGCAATAAGCAGGCCTTACACTGTGACATACATGATGAACGAGAAGTTAACTATTAGCCTTCTTGGCCTTGTAGAATTTAGACCACAATCATTGCCAATGTACCATACATATTCTGGCTTGATACAACATCCTCTTTTAATGGCATAAGTAAGAAATCACAAAGACATTTGTAGATCTTGCTTGCAACCCATTCAAGCACTGTCTTCTCATCCTATTAGGAAATATGCATACAGGTCATTTTTTTCTACATAGGTAAACTATTCTCCTAATCTTATCTAATGTGTAAGAAGAAACACATTCAAATCCCATTTGTTCTAAGAACTCCATCACACGTTCCTTGCCCCACATTGCCCCTAAACCAAAACTATTGTCAAAATACAGTGATGTTGCCAAGCAACGAAACATACTCCAAGTGTAACGCCAAGCAGCATGATGCATGCCAATATTATCAGCATGGTTGCTATGACCATCAGGTTCCTCAATAATATATATACCATCATCTTTCATAATGCGCATAATTTCGTTATGAACAAGGTCAGGTCGAGGAAGATCGTGTACGACGTCAATTGCGAAGACAATGTCGAACTTGGATTTCCAGTTATCCGCCATTTTGGATGCGTCGCATTGGAGGAAAGTGACGTTTGAGAGTTTCATTTCAAGTGCTCGAGTTCGAGCTGCAGCGATGGTCTTCTCGGAAAGATCAACACCATAGAATTGGCATGCAGGATACAACTGTGCTACTGTACACATAGGCATTCCACTACCACAACCAACATCACAGACAACAGTCCCTGGAACTATGAATATAGTATAACATTTCTGAATCCGCTGTTAACTATAGCAGAAATACTCAAAAACTTGAAACAAGCAAACAAAAAATCAAACAGAAAAAATGGATTGTCACCAATCTTACCTAGTTTGGCTTTGACTTCCTCTGATGTAAACAAGTAAGCCTTGGGCATTTCCTGAAGTTTTAGTGATGCCATTTCATCTGAATGTTTTTTTATGAGTTGGATATCGAGAGTATGGCACACCTAGCGAAGATAAAATAGTCATTGTTTATTATATAGACTTGCACCAGACACATATTTAATGTTATTAGAAATTATGATAATTGAACCAGAAATAACGAAATGATTATTTAATTGCTAGGAAAACTAGTAGTTCGAATGAGTTTTAGTACAAGGACAAGGATTAACCCAGATTTATTGGGGAACCAGAATTGTAATTACATATTACAGAGCATTGTAGGAGTCGCTGGAATGGCGTGGCTTGGTAGCTTGTGTATATATCAGACAACTTATGTGCAGGCTTCAAATACGAACACAACATTCGGCACCATCAATGAGGTTTGATTGACAAACCTAATTGACAGTGCTGAACTTCACTTA